CTCAAAGGAGATGCAGACCTTGAGAACCAACTAAACGTATTGTCCCTGGAAACAGCTGTCCAAGTACATTCATTACACAATTCTTCCCCAAGGAAATGTTCTCCCAGTACTTGAACTCACTATGCCCCTGCAAGATAGACTGGCAGGTGCTTCAGCTGGTCCCGACCACTCCCCTCACACGCATCTCTGTGCTTTCACAGGTGCTGTTCCTTCTGCCTGAGCATCCCTTCCTGGGAAGCTCCTCTTCATCCTTCGAGGATCTACAGGTTGAGTATCCCTTATCCAAAATGCTTGAAACAGAGATGTTTCAGATTTTGGAATATTTACAGAATATATATCGGTTGAACATTCCTAATATGAAAATCAAAAATCAAAAATCCACCAGTGAGCATTTCCTTTGAGCATCATTTTGGTGCTCAAGAAGTTTCAGATTTTGGAGCATCTCGTATTTCAGCTTTTTGGGTTAGGGATGCTCATCCTGTACTAACCAGTAACCTCCTTAGCGAATCCCTCCTGGATTTTCTCCAGCAGATCTCTCCCTCCCTCTGTGTTTCAACAGCACTACTGACAAATAGCTAGGGAGGAACCATTCTCCCCACTAGGCCATGAGCCTGTCCAGAAGTGGGTCCCCTCTTATGGGCCTGTATTCCAGCATCTGACACGATGGGACCACATCCTGAGCGTAACAAGTGAGATGTGTCTCCTTCCTAAAAGAGAAGACACTGGCTGCATCTGAATCCTGGCTGCACCATGTGATCCAAACCTCTCCATGAGGCCTCCCTTTCTTACTCTGCAATGTGAGTAACCAACACTCTACTCCTCACAGTGCCCACCCTTCCCAGGGCTGTGGTGCAGAGTAAACCAGGCCACAGACATTAGCATTGGGACAGCCCTGGCAAATGGCAGGTGTTAGTAAGTGCTGGCCATTATTAACATTTCTCCCTTTCGTTCTCCTTCCCTTTCCTTCTCAGTCATGCTCTGTTTGCTTAATCAGCACTCTGTGGCTAATGGAAATTTTGGGAGGTTATCTGTGCTCTGGCCTTGTAACGAAGTTCGCAGAGTAATGGTAAAGACCTTCACTGGGGCACTAAAGAAAAGCTCTGGAACACAGTCTGCGATGAAAGGGCACCCCCCAGCCAAGGCAACCGGTTTGTGGTCAGGTGGCAGAACTCAACAACTGAAGCTTTTTCAGAGAAGAGAGAGGGCAGCCAATACATTGCGGGATAACAAGATTTGGGATTTCGATTGATCCAGGATCCTTTTTCCCATTCTCACTTCCAAATCATCCTATTTGATTCAAGTCAACACAACTACATGGGACTTCCACTAGGGACTCAAGGACTTCCATTTCCAAATCTCTCCTGCTGCTTCATTCTAAGTGAAGCCCCACTTTAAACGAATCTGGGTATGTGCTGCACTTTGAAGAGCATTTTCATTAAAAGTCATAATGACTATGACTGCTTTTTTCCCCCTCTCCTGCTGGTCAGTGATTTTGCTGAATTTCCCATTTGCTCCTCCGGACCCACTCTCCACCCTTCTCCACCTGGCTCTGGACCAAGGAGACTGACAGATCATATCAACACGCTCCCTTGCCCTCTGGCTTCTGGTGGCAACAGCCAAGGAGAAGCCCCGGCAGGACACAAGAAAAAGAAAGGGGGAGGGGGAAGGTTTCCTTTCCTGCTAGGCCACCATTGGGGTTGAGCAGAGGCTCCTGCTGGTGGCTGCCCCTCCCACACAACTCTCTCTTCCAAGATCCTGCCACCACTCTCTCCACTGGCCCCTGCGGCCAGGAGTGATAATGGCAATGCTACTCCTGTGGTTTCCCACACCCTGAGGACACCTATGTAAATGGCCTCTTTATGCAACTCTTCAAATTACCCAATCTGAGTGTGCCATTAATTTTCTGTCAGGAACTCTGAATGGCAAAGTAATTAGTTGTATTTTTTCTTCATCCACATGCAAACCACCCCTGGGAGAAGCAACTCACATTGGAGCTGGAGTTGATGACTTTTAACTCGTGAGATTTAGGCCTGTGCACAGACTTTCCCTCTCGGTCCTGCCTTCCCTCTTCAGAAAAGAATTCCTTCCAGGGTGATTCCCGAAGATGTTCATCCACAGATACTATATGTCCCTCTGTTGTAAACATGTATCTTGTTCCAGATTTGTGTACTGGATTCTCCTCATCAAATAGCTAGAGGGAAAGAAAAAAATAAATAAATAAATAAATATACAACTGGTAACTGCGGCACATTTGCGGCTATCTCTGAAAGTGTCTCAGCTTCTCAGAGAACAGAATTTGCTTGGACCTTCATGCTTTTCAGTGACAAATGGGTGAAAAGACAGATTAACAACCATGGTTCCCGACCTGGCTGCAAGGCAATATCACCTGTTTACACTCAGACGCCTGGACCTGTCCCCACCCCACACACACCTTTCCTAGACGTGCAGATTCAGAAATTCCAGGGCAAAGACCCAAGCACAGGTAGTCTGCAACAGCTCCTTGCTGACTCCCATATGCCACTCTAAGCTGGAATTGTAGAACTGTCCCCACCACACACATACCCAGACCCTAAGTTATAAAGGCTGGCGGAAGGAAGTCCATGTTTTCTTCCCTACCATATCCCCAGGGCCTAGCACCGAGTCAGCACACATGCCAACATTCAGTTCAGTTCCTGCGTCAAAACATGGGTCGGGCACTGAGGACTCAACAGCACACAAGGCACTGTCCTCCCCTCGGAAGGTCCTCCCCTGAAGGAGGGTGCGACAGGCGCATGCAGAAAGAAAACCTAACCCAATATGGGACAAGTCAGTGGGGGACAAGACAGGTGTTCAGTACATGTTGAATGAATACTTGGAAATTCTTAGAGATGGCAGAATCCTTATGGGTCACCTAAACTACGTATTTCAGAGACCAGGAAAAATGAGACGCAGAGCAGCGAATGGGAGAAAAATGGTGTAGACCCCAACTCGTCTCCCCCCAGATTCTGAGTTCTTTTCCCTAGCACACCCTCCACCAGGGTCTCCTTCCTTTACTCCAGAACTCGTCCTGTTAACATCCTCTGACACCAACACCTGATAGATGTAGACCCACGGTCAGCCTATTCAGCCAGCCACACTGAGAGCCAGAACCTTTGCGCACCATGGGATTCGGCAGCAGGACACCTGTCTTCCCACCAGATAGACCACGTGGTCTGCTGGGGACACATCTCCTCTGTAGTCTTCTGTGAAAAGTGATGCCACACAGAAGAGTCGTCCTAAGGGATTAGACCAGTGGCTCCAAAACCTGGCTTTGTATAGAATCACTGGATGCACTTGTCAAAATTACAGATTCCTGAGACTACTTCTTTTAAAGATTTAGTTATCTTAACAAGGGCACCAGGGTGATTCTGACCAGATTGCCCCAGCCCTGGGAACCACCAAACTGGGTGACACATTTACCACTGCTGCTGCTGTCTATAACTCTCAGCCCAAGTTCTCAGTCGCCACGCTACTTTCCAACCAGGAAATCCTGCCCCCTTTGTGCCTTAAGAAGTCTTCTTTTATATGTTGCCACATTGAGGCAAGTGACAGAGAGGGCAGGAGAGCAGCTTCGTGCACAGGTGCACAGGAGATATACGTGCATGTGGCAGAGCAGTGAGGTGGCAAGAGTAATGGATGAGGAGGCAGGGCCGTGGTTCATACCTCACCTCTGCTGTGCAGTCACCCCAAGATTTCAGGCAAGTCACCTGACCCCTCTATGCAGGCTGTGGCTCCCGTGAGGGCTAGTTGAACATTGACTAGGTGATCCCAAAGCTTCCGTCCAGGTCCAGAAGTTCTCTCTCCACACACACGAGTGTGTGCCTGAGGATGTGTGCGTGGACAGACAGCTGGGCTGCAGGCCTCGGCCATGATCACAAACAATCAAAAGAAGTGAGAAAGCTCTAAACACCACTCTCTTCTTCAGAGGAGTCTTTCCCAGCCAGTGCACTAACGCTGGCCCTCTACCCATTGCTATCAGCACTTCTCACCACTTGCACTCATGAGTTTTCTTTGTTTACCTGCCAAATGACTCCTCTATGAAGCTGGAAACCATGAAGGAAGATAGCAATATCTTTTTGTTCTGACCATGCCTGCATCCCTGTGAACATGCCACGTCCAGCACATGGCAGTGCCCAGTAAATACCCGTCAGAAGACTGCACCAATGCTTGCTCTAAGCCACACTAAATATTCCTTGGTTAATCCTGCAACACACTTACCAGATACAAGTATTTGCAGGTCTCACTAAGAAAGAAGCTCTCCATCCGGTCCTCTGTGGACTTGTCAATGACGTGGTGCAGCGTGGCATACCCACATCTGCAAGACAATTATCCAGTTAGTCCTGCCTCTGCACCGTCCCATCTGCTGGCTCATCGACAAAGCAGGAGTACTCGACTAACACAACAACCAACCAAGTTATCCAACACCATATGAAAAATAAACTATGTTACATTGAAAGGCTATCCATTTTTTATCCTTGGATTGCTTGTAAATTTATTTTAAAAGTGGCCTGGCTGCTAAATTATCAGGTTAGTTGCAGGTAGGAGGGAGGGGCAGGGACAATATTGGCCAAAAAGCAGAACACAGCACCAGGAAAATGACTAGCAACAAATCTAAAAGGACTGATTTAAATTTTTAATACTAGTACTTGTAGAACTGACATCATTCGGATTCCCTAAAATAGTATTTTGTAAGAAAATACTTATGATACACTGGTTAAGTTAAAAAAAAAAAAAGTCACAAAATTGAAATACAGAGTATGTTTTTTATATATACATATATACACACATTATATATAAGTATATAAAAAAGATTATAAATATATCCGCTTAAATGCTGACTATGCTTATCTCTGTATGAAGAGATTACAATGATAATATTCTACCTTGTTATATTTTCTGTATTTCCTAAATGTCTGAGTATATGAATTATTTGTATAACTAGGGAAAATAAGTTACTTATAAAAAACACACAGTCTGCTGGAAACTTACAGGAAAAAAAAATGGGGGTAAAAAGCAATTCCCACTACAATGGAGAGGAGCTACTACACCAAAAGGTAAACAATTTCCCTGCAAAATTAACATTAATGACCTGTTCTATAAATTAAAATGCAAAAACTAGGACAATATTTCCCCAGAACAACTCAAATTAAATCAAAAGTGGCCAACAGAAAAAGAAAGGAACTTAGAAAACTGACTTGACTTTTGTGTACTTTTCCAGACTCTGCAGAATATCCATTCCTACATGGAGGTAGAAGGGATTCTTGGTTGCCTAGAGAGAACATGAGAGAATGTGATCCAGCAAGAGCTTGGAAAACATGCCATCTATAAACACCACGGAGACTGCAGGCATTCCCCAAGGAGGTGAGTCACCGGCCAAAAGAAGGAACTGGGCCTAACTCACTTTATCCTCAAGGAGCACAAATGTTAAAGGAGTAGGCACTCTTTCAGTTCACATCAAAGCACACCTACAATTTAACTATACCCAGGGTTAGGACAATCTGCTCCAATGTAGAACCATACTCTGCTTTGGCTCTCCTGATCCCCGTCATGGTCATAAATGAAGCAACGCCCACCCTGACAGTACCACGTCAGAGAACAAATCCAGTTTCCATCTTGCCTCAGAACTCTCTAGAAACTAAGACACAGGCACAGGGAAACAGGACCTTGCCCCCACTCCAATTATAGCACTGTGAGGAAAGGCCAGTGAATAGGAACAATAAGACTTTCACAGTTTCCTCTCCAGTCACCCTAAGAAGTCAGTCCTTGGGTTGCTGACTCTTCTGTCACATGCTCTTAGATGGTTTTGTTAATCTCTGGGAGGATGAGACATTAACCCACAAACAGTTTAAAAGTTGGGGATCATCTTTAATACATGCCTAGTGCCAACATGCAGCAGCAAAAGCCAAAAGCTACAAGGTTAGCTGTTTCAGGATTAAAAGAGTACAGGGCATGGCGGCAGAGGGTAAATCTGTCAAGTGGGAGATTTCTCTTCATTTGAAGAAAACAGTCAATGTGAGGAAGAAGTTGAAAATAGGCAAGAAGCGGTGACAGAAACAAAGTGGCATAAACCCACAGGCACCAGGGCTGAGCTCAGGAGGAGAACACAGATAGCAGCCACCTGCCATCTCAACATGTGCACAGCCTGGGCTCCAGGGCCAGCATGAGGCGCCACCTTCCCCTTTCTATGACAGGTTACCTAAACTCATGAGGTCTCCCTTTACACAAGAGGATGATTGCCAGTTCCACAAGATTTCTCCCTTTTTCATCTAGAAGCAAATGGCAAGGACTCAGCATAAAAAAATGCTGAATAAATCTAACCCATAGTACTAATCCTACTACCAGAGCTTGTAAAAAATCAGGTTCTGCTTGCTAGGGCTTGCCCACTGTAGGCGTTTGCTACAGGCCTACTGAGTTGCATCAAAGGCCAGCTTCTTGGAAAGGTAACAGCTTATGCTGCTGTGTTTGTGAATGATGAGGACTCTCAGTGTGTATATATGTACGGCATGCACAGAAGTATAAATATCTGGCTTCAACTTTCGAGGAGAAGACATTTCACAGTTAAAGTGACAATCCCTCTGGCACTAAAGTAATTTCATGAAAGATATATTTTTCTTAGCACTAAACAAAAACAGGCATTCAGATGAATCCCAGATGATTTCCTTTAAAACCAAGAAAAAGAATTTTCTTTTTTTCTGAATAATTATTACACAGACCAGAGTTCCACAGTACACTGGTACTGAATTGCATCCCCCCAAAATGGTACTTTGGTCAAATAAATTTGGAACACACTTAGTACAAAATCTTCCTCTTGAATATTTAAAGATGTGAGAAGTAAGTCCTACAGTAAAGACACAATCCAGCTTTGCAAAATGTGAGGTTAAAAACCTTACGTGACTGCAGACACCTCCTCCATCCTGCGAAACCATGAACGACACTGAACACTAACAAGACCATAGAGAGGTGGTCACTCTATCAGAGTCACTGTGAAACAACATCATTCTAAATCAATCAGCAAGTGTTCATTAAGAACCAACTACTACAAGTCCTGCTCATGTTAAATACAAACTACTGTGTACTCTAGTACCTGATAGAGGAGATACGTGGATTCCACTAACTCCGGTCTCAGTGGGTAGAAGAGAACATCAGGGGCCTGTAGCTGCCAGTTATACCTCTCGGGGAGGGCACCATATCGTTTCCATATGGCATAGTAAAAGGCATGGAGGCAGATGGCATCTTCTACATCTCCTATCAGAACCTAAGGAGAAGACACAGGTCACCAGGCTGCGACACTTTTCCCAGAATGGCAAGACATGACACGAAGGCTCTGGGCTCTGCCTCTACTCTCCGGCTCTTCTCTGACCTACAAACATGGTTGGAGACAAAATCAACCCAAAAGTGACAATTCAGACAAACAGATGCCCTCACTATCTGGGTTGTGAACTGCATGGGAGAAGAGGTTAAATGTACTAATGAACAAAGAACAAACAACTGAGAGAAGCACTATCCAAAAATCACACACAGTTACTTTTCAAGCATGGTTTTGCACTTATGCAATATGGCTCTGTTCAATATTCTGGGGACTAATTCCACAAAGAGAATGATAGACACAGGTTGTGCTATTAACCTCCCAAATCCAAAGGAGCTAAAGAACACTCTGGCATCAAAGGCCTTTCTAATGGTTGCTTATTCTTCGCAAACCTGATTGCAGCATACCTGCAGTCCAGGGAAGAAGGCCTGAAGAGAGTCAATCCAGGTGTTCATCAGCTGGCCGCTGAACATGTTCACATTGACATAGAGTGGGGGGTCTCCTTCTCCTTCATTACAGGCTTCCCGCCTACAAATCCAAGCAGTGCATTCAAAGGTGAGAAGAAAACTCATTGACAGAGCTCAAGTTCTGTTCTTCCGGCAACTCCTGGTTGTTTCATTTAAATGGAACCCACATTAACTTTTTCTCTTAACTCATTCCTTAAACCTTTGAAGACAGTCTGCCTCTACCTGTCTGTACTAGACTCTACCAGAAGATAACATCCACCCTAGAATTAAAGTTCTAAACTTAGCCATGGTAATATATCAGGATTTCACTGTATTTCGCGGAAAGCACTTTGACATTCAGGTTTAAGAACCCTGTCACATAACAGAACTTGGTATACAATGCAGGCCTATGCTGGATTTGTTCTAAGGGTAGAAGCCTAGTTCTCTGTACAAAGAGTCTCTTCTCTAGTATGGTCCAACAGCATGGGCCTGGAGGAATACATCAGACCAAGACCCTCAGGGACTACTACCTAATTTAGTTTGGGGCTTTGAAAAGTGAAAATGACTGAACTCCAGCCAAAAGACCTCTTACTTAAACACAGCACTTACACAACATTGCGGCTCCTACAACGGCTAAAGGAGAAATGAGTCCAAGAAAACCCCACCAAGCAGGAAGCTCAGTAGCGATACTAGTATTGGCCATTTAACACACAAATGCACACAGACAGGCCTGGGGAAGAAAAAGGGACTCCAGGGCAGAAGCTGCTGCGGCTTCGAATGGCCCTCTCTCTCTCCTACCACCTGAATGCACAAGTGAGAAATGGCAAATAATGTCATTTTAAACAAACTCAGAGGGAAAAAATGTGTACCCGTCCTTTTACCAGGTAAAAAGAAAAATTCTAACAATTCTTTGGAAAGTAAAAAAACCAAAACAACTCGATAACTCTACTGTATTACAGCTCCACCTGCAGCTAAAGCCACAGTTAAAACACAGGGATGTGTCATCTCACACAGCAACCAGTCTACCTCCCGGCAGTCACACCCCTGGGTAAGCCCCTCTCCCATATCAGGGTTGGTCGGGTGACCAATGGTCTGGCAGAAGTGTTGGTACGTCATTCCCAGATGAGGTCATGAAAGCACTGTGGGGTTCCATTTTGGTCTCTCTATCTCTCTCGAATTACTCACTCTGAAGGAAGCCAGCTGCCACGAGCTACCGACAAAGAGGCTCCCTGTGGCAGGAAGTGAGACCTCCAGCCACACCCAGTGAGGAACTGAAGCCTGCCAACCACCACAGGCGTGGGCCTGGCAGAGGATACTCCCGCCCCAACTCGAGCCTTGGCATGGCTGCAGCCCCAGCTCATAACTAACTCCACAGCAACCTTGTGAGGGATCTTGGGCCAGAACTGTCGGTTTGGCTGCTTCTGGATTCCTGGTCCCTTAGAAAAAACATGAGATGTTTGTTGTTTTAAGCCACTAGGTTTTGGGGTACTATGCTATGCAGCACTAAGTAGCTAATAGAGCTCTTCACCCCCCAAATGACTGACAAACAACCAGTAAAGGTGGGGGGGCAGAGACGAACAGACCCTGTGAATTTAAGTTAAGAAAAATAGAAACATTTCAGAATGCATTCTATTTGCTCAATTAGGCAACAGAAAAGATGTTAAAAGAGACATACCCTCTTCTTAAGTAGTTCTGAATACTCTGATATGCAGCATTAAACATTTCTAGGTCTTCTTTTTCTCCAAAGAGAATGTAAGATTTCAAGAGGTATTCATAGAAGGAGTCCAGCCCAGCGCCCAAGCCACTCTGTTTTCCAACCCAATGGCCCGTCTGAATGTTCACAACATTGCCTGCGGAGATAAACAGGGCGCTTCAGGTTCCAATTATCTTGGGGTGGGGATCAGTTGGGGGTGAGGGACAGGTGGGGGGGATGGGGACAGACCTCCTATTTCGACCCCACTGTTCCTCAGCACCTTCATCTTTGTCAGGTAAGAGGAGTGAAGGCTTGACCCTAAAATTTTTATCGGTCCTATTAGTAACTTGGATAGCCTAGAGATTTTTCTGAATGTTTAACCACTGACACAAAAATGGAGATATACATTTAACGTAAAAGGAAAACAGGTTTGTCATGTCGCTTTTCCAGATTGACAATACATCTTAAAACCCAAAAGAGTGTTCATAGCTTTTAACCCAGTACAGCCATTCCTGGGAAATTATCCTTAAAAAAAAAAAAATGTTATTTACCAGAAAATTATCTGTAAAATGGAAAAAAGAGAGGGAGAGAAATAACTAGACTCCAACATGAGAAAAAGAGTTAATGGACAGTTATGTAGCTTCCAATAAATGATAACTATGAAAACAAGGTAATAACTTGGAAACACTTAGATGACCTGCCAAATTAAGGCAGGATAAAACTGTTTGTTTATATTATATTATAACTGAAAATATTTAAAAGCTGCACATGCCAGGCTGAAAGGATCTATGGAAAGCTAAAAAATTAACAATTAAGGGAGACACTGACCAACCATTTGGTGATAGACTGACAATCTGAGTGGCTTCTTTATCTCTATTGTTGTGGTTAAATACAAATTTGAATATACATTTTACAACTTAAAAAACAAAAAAAACATACCAGGCAGCCACCAAAAATATAAAAATAAAAAATCACTCTTAAAAACAAAGCTTTTAGGGCCGGCCCGGTGGCGCACTCGGTAGAGTGCGGCACTTGGGAGCATGGAGGCACTCCCGCCGAGGGTTCGGATCCCATATAGAGACTGGTCAGCTCACTGGTTGAACACAGTGCGGGCGCGACACCAAGGGTTGCGATCCCGTTGCCGGTCACAGTACGGGTGCGACACTGAGGGTTGCGATCCCGTTGCCGGTCATGAAAAAAGACAAAAAGGAAAAAAAAAAACAAAGCTTTTGCAACAACCCACTACAGCTGGAGGACAACCAATCAAGTTACTTCCCAGTGCCAGAAAGAAAATATTTTCCAATATGAGACAAACAGTTACATAAGGTAAAAACATATTTGAGTTATACATCTTGAGTTAGCAAAATACTGATAATTATTAAAGATGAATGATGAGTACACAGGGGTTATTATTCCTTATACTTTATCTCTATTATGTTTGAAATTTTCCATAATAATTTTTTAGTAACACCTTGACCAAACATTCTCAGTGGAAAAACCCCCACCTAATATAGGTTTAATCTGGGCTTTCAATCTACTACTCCACACCTAGATTTTTTAAAAGGAAAAAGCTGTTCCACCAGTAACTCTAAATTCCTATATTTGGAACCCTATATTGAAGCAATAAAATCTGCCTCAGGGGCAGTTCTTTTTGCAGCATTTCCATTAACAGTAATTTTCAAGTGGAATATGCCAAGGGATCCAAATCATAAGGGAGCCCTCAAACGGCAGAAACATTAGTCTTTTCCATCAAACTTTACAGCCTCACTCTAAGTAAAAGGTCATATAAAGAAACTGGATGTGGCAGACACTGAGGGCCACTGAGTCGTCAATTTTCAGATTCAATGGTACAGCGAAGAAGTGGTGGAGGGTGGGAGAGCCTCAGAGAAGCTCAAAGGGGAGGGGACCAGACGGTATGCAGTCCCACTGGCACAAGAAGATGCCTCCACACCTAATAGTCCTGTATCATTGCTCCGGAGGCTCCAAAGGGCTTTAACTGCTCGTCTGGCCACCCATTCAAACGTGGAATCCCCCAGCAGTCGGCTCAGAATCCCAAATTCCACCAGGAGGGAACCAGCTCCTGCCGTGCACGTCTCGTTATTGCTGTCAGGCGGAACTCCTGTCTTTAGATTCACCTGGGGACAGGAAGAGACAAAGGCTTCATGGCAACACTCAAGGAACCCACTGGGGTGAAAGGCCAGAAAACAGATACTACATTTGACTAACAAGCCAAGCTTACCACGGTGAGAGTCAGTGCACTGCCTCCCAAGTTGCATCTGAGATGAATGTGAGAGTTAAATTTAAAAGACAAAGGGCTGGCCAGTTAGCTCAGTTATTAGAGAGCAGCCTTGTAACACACTGAGGTCAAGGGTTCAGATCCCCATACTGGCCAGCCACCAAAAAAAATAAAAAGTAAAAATAAAAAGACACAAGATAAGAACAGCAGAGACTCATCTTATTAATAAAAGCAAGTCTTCAGGAAATAATTATAATTCTATTCACTAAACCATCTCTTTCCAGCAGGTTTTCTTCATGTTTGCAAAACAACAAGGCTTTGGGGTTAGAAACAAAGGCAAGCTATGGAATCACTTACAAATTTTAAGTGAGCAACTGTGACCTCACTCCTGCTCAGCAGACACAGACAAATCTCAGACTGGGAGGAAAAGTCAGCATAGCAGAACATGACAGCTGGCTTCACCACAGAGGATCCATGGTGTGGCAGTTCTGCGCTGGTTACCCAAAAGGCTGACTCAATTCCCAGAGGAGTTCTGGGCTCAACAAATCAGATGCCACAAAGATATAATCTCCTTCCAGATCTTGCATTTAAATCAGCACCTAACTTGCTGGTCTGTGCAGGCTTTACTTGAAGATCATGTGAAGCATTCAAAAAAACAATCACTGAACTCCTGTAATATACATGTGAGGATCTTTAGGAAAATACACCCAAGTCAGAAATGAACACAAACTGCCCACACTATTTTGTAGCAGAAGATAAAAATCACACAAGTAAAAGGACTTAATCATACTGAACACAGAAACATAAGTTCCCTAAAGGGAAGGATTAAATCAGGTATGTCACACACAGTAAATGCTGAATGGATTAAAAAACAATTACATCATACCTAGGACCGAATTCTCTCAAGGACACCACTTTCCTATTCTACCTCAGCCCCATTATTCCTTCCTCCAAATAAATTAATACAGCAAAGAGTTTTAATTCAGGAAGATGGCAAATTGTCAAACACAAAGGTTCAAACCTACCCGAGGATATGGGATCCCTGTCTTGGTGTTTTCAAAGGCAGGGAGGAGCCGCACAGCCAGGTCATGGGCCATGTGCAACAACTCATTATCGTAATCCTTAATTGTCATGTCACCAAAGGGCTGCTTGGAGTCAGTTATTATTCTATGGGCAGAAAGGAGGCTTCCCAGGACCCTAATGACAGGAAGAACAAAAAATAATGAAATCACGTTGCTGGTAAATGCAAATTAAAAACGACAGAAGAAGCCTCTATTTCCTTGTGGACTGAGAACTGCCTGGAGTCAGAAGGACTTGACTTAATGGCCTCTTAAAGTCTTTCCAGTTCTGATAGTACATGATTGATTCTTAGTTAACCACATTACTGACAGGGAGAAAGGGAATCATTCATCTGAGGCTACCAAGAAAAATACCATTTAAATATTAACATATTTTACAATCTTAATGTTAGGGCATTAAGAGAGTGTATTAATTGGAGTATACTGATTGTCCTCAATAAATTTTACTTATTATTCCACTAAATTACTCTTGATTTATCTCACCTGGGGAAAAAACTTAGCCATATAACAAAGAGAAAAAGGCAAGACAACTAAATAAGTAACTTATTTAGTTTTGGCTGCCAAGCAACTGATGAACTTCTCTAATATCTGGTAAAGAGGCAAGGTGAGGAGAAAGAGAAGAGAACAAGGAGAAAATGGACCACTCAGAGGCAGGAGGCTCCCAGCTTAGATCTATGCCCTGTAGACACACAAATGTCCCCTTCCAATGATATGAAGTGGACTGTGACATTTTTCAGAACAAATGTTTTCATAACGTTAATCTTAAATAAATATTACATCTGTAAACTGAAATGTTATGCAGTAATATAATTATTTAAAAATGACATTAAGCAGAAGAAGTCATAATATATCAAACTAAAGAAAGCAAGATACAAAACTGGGCATAGAATATGATCCCTACATTAAACAAAGAGAGAGAGAGAGATTACTAAGGGACAAACATGAGAAGGAAATACACCAAAATGGTAAGCAGTGGTTTTCAGTAGGTGGTAGGTGAGATGGGAAACTCTTATTTCTTTTAGAAATATGTAGGGGTTTTCCTAGGACACAGTGAATGCAAGAAATGAGACCAGACATAAAGGGAAACCATGAAACTCTGCATTAGAGGGACACCTTCTTACACCCCCATTAAAACATAAGTGTCTTTCTGTTTAGTCCAAAATGTGTGATTACTTTGAAATATCAATTGTACCAATTTGTATAAATATAAAACTAAACATGAAAAATGTGCACTGTGCCCACAAGGTTTATATGGACTCTCTACGTAGATCTTGGGGCTAGAAGACCCTCACAGGAATCCTTCTCTATACATACACAAAAAGAAGCCTTCAATTCATTGTAAGTACTATTTTACCTTATCGTGGCCTCAAAGACTTGGACAGTGGAATCTTTGTCAAATGAAACTGTGTTGATCACTAACTTGACTGCTTTCTGGAACTCGGATGAATTTCCCATTACCTTTAAAAAGAGGAACATAGACCATTACAGCAGCTTGAAATGAAACAGGCTACATGATCACAGCAGCAGGCCACATCATCTAAACGTCTGTGTGTGGTTTTGCCACTGCAGGAGTAAAAACACAAAAGGTAGAGAAGCACAGTTATTTCTCAGAACGTATTCCGGGCCAGATGGCAAGCCTATTTCTTCCAACTCAAGAATCCTATCTCCAAATGGCAAAACTGTGAAGATAATTCCTCATAAAATCACTGGCACTCCTTGTCTTCCCACACCATTCTCCCTCAAACTTCAGTCTCAACTTATTTATCGTGAAAGGCACTGTAGCTCCCAAAACTTGTGGAATGGGCAAAAATAGATTTAAAAATTGAGAAAACAAAAATATGACTTTCCCTGTGCTCCGCAAATAAATCAACAGCTTGGGTGCTTGTCTCTCAGGAGACCCAAACATCTCAAAAACTGACTGAACTTGCTTGTCATCTAGATGTCTAAACAGTTTGATAAATAGTAATAATAGGTTTTGGAACACAGCATAAAGCCAGGGACACATAAAACAAAACATACAAATAATCAGCTCTATGTCCTTTTTAAAAAGTGATCTAGAATTATGATTCCTATTTTGGGTGTGTGGATACAATGTCATACACCAAGCCTCTCCTACACAAAATGCAAATTGGGCATAAAATTTTATAGATTAACCTGAACTGAAATGACTTCATTCTATTCCAAATTTTATGACAATCTTATCACTACAATGACATTTTAAGGACACACACAAAAAAATCAAGGATTACAGGTCAAGGGTGTGGATCCCCTTACCGGTCAGCCACCAAAAAGAAAAAAAAAAAATCAAGAAAAAACAAATAATTTTATCAGACACTACTTCTTTCATGTAGGTCTTACTTCCTAATATCTATTGGTCTGCTACATCTTTTCCCCCTTATAATTACTTTGCTGTAACATACAGAGCAAGTACAGATGTTTCTTTTCTGACATTCAGTTCTTTCCTTTTAAAAGATTATGCAATAATACTGCAAGTTGCAGCCAATGGTCATAGTACTGCTCTCTTCTGAGTGTTTCCACAGCACACCTGTCAAAGCCTGTTTAAAACGTTAACAAAAGAAAAGGAAAACCTCAACATAAGTAACACCTGAAAAGTCAGCCTGACAGGCTAACACATTAAAGGCCGGATATTCTACAATGAAACCCACAGAGGTGGGTCTGTTTCCTTACAGATGTTCACCAGCAACAATATCTGGTGCAGCTGCAGATGATGATATGATCTCAGATCAAGTAGAAGATGGTAAAGGAAGCCAGCAACTCTTAATTACATATTGCAATTTTCCATTTTACTCAGATACTTACAGAGCCCAGAGTAACCAAACCAGGCTATAAAATCATTCACTCATGTTTCAGAAAGCTGGATTGGACAGAAGAGTTAAATAGGTTTATTTACTGCAGAACTTCTCAGAGCCTTTAAAATGTTGATGCACATTATGGCTCTCCAATAGTGGGACAGACACAGAATTTCTCAAGTTCATTTGGGAACAGAACTCTACTTTCAGGGAGTACATCCTTGAAATCTGTGTTAGGAAATGCTGGATTGGTAGAAATTCATTTTTTGAACAAATATTTGCATTCCCACACTGAATAATAGAGATAAAGTCTCTGTACTTAACAAGTATGGCAGAGAGATAAAAAGACAAAATGGAACAAAAAAAAAAAAGGCTCAGGGAGAAAAGTGAGCTTTCATAAGCTGTATATGAGTCTTAGGACTTCTCTTTTTAAGCAACCCTTGTAGGCTGAGTCATCCTCTAGTATCTTCAACAAGTTAGCTCTAAGTAGGCTGGAATACTTGTCTGGGCACATTTTGATCAGTGATGACTTAAATGGAGCAGCGATAACTTCAGAAGAAGATACTGGGAAACCAAATTGCTTTGCAACTACAGTCTAGTAGAATCAAATCCAGTACTCTAGATTTTCTATTAGATCAAGGGTCCTAGTTCTGCTACTTATTTATAAAATGAGAACGTACAATGATCTCTCAAGGTCTTTCCAAATTCTGATAATTCTACTAATAGCAAGATCCTGAACAGCGTAATGCAAACTTAGGTAGCATTACTCATTACTCATTACTCATTTCTAACTCCTTTTAACTCTAAACTGTTAATTGAAACAGCTTTAAACACTTTTAAGAAATGTTAAAAGAAACCAGAATAAATCATTAAATACAGGATTTGGGCTAGACTGCAGTAAGAATTTCCTAATGGGAAAAGCTTGTTGGACAATGAAGGAGAGCAAAGAAGTTGTAAAACCACCTTTTCTAAGGAGATTTAAAAACAAAGCTGTGCTGTAATATAGTCCCTTGGAAATTGTATTCTATAGCAAAAGGGCATGAATTAGACTAAGCCCATAGACACAGCCTGATCATGTATCATGTCCACAGTGTCTTCTTGCCTTTACTATGTTTCTGCATATCTGGCCAAAGGATGAGGAGGTAAAGGCAGCACCCAAGTTGGCAGCTCAAGTATGGAGTGGATAGTGTCCATAAAATAAGCAACAGCAAATAAAAAGGAGTGTTTGTAGAGAGCTCCACATATGGGCTAGCCCAGGGCTCAGACACACTCTTGTGAGCCAGGTGGTGTTTCAGGGTACCTACAACTCTGAGATCTTCTGTCTTTTATTCCTGAAATAGTAATACAATAAATGTAAACATTAATGGATTTCTCTATGGACTGATTCCTTTATGGAATAAGATAGTGGGAAACAAAACACAATTACACATTTCTTCCCTTCTTTTTTTTTTTTTAGGAGAATCACATTTCCCCTCATTTAACCACCAACTCTTTCCTTGCTCTTCCCATTTAAGGTCATTAAAATAAATAATAGCTATCAAAGCTAGCAATACATTTGGAGTATCAGGTTCCTGTTCCCTGAAATTCCCATTGCTGGGGGAAATTAGGGTTAATCAACTCAAAAAAATCTTAATTTTTTTTCTTTTAAAAAAAGATGAACACTTACTGCAAGTGTGTCCAACGCGTCAACAAGAGTCAATGAATAGTTCCCTAGTACATCATTGATGTTCAGATTTGAACTGAAAAAGAAATAAAATTAAGAATTAAACAAAGGTACTTTATTTTAAAAGTGTAAAAAGACACTAAAACTAAACACCTATTAGAAACTACAACTGCCAGCAACTTGTATTTACTCAGGAACTGATTATGGGTGGATCAGTATGGCAAAGGTCTTTCTGTCTCAAAAGCAAGCTTCTACAGTGTCTGTAAGTAGAATCGAGTCACAAACCACAGAGACACACTTGTACTATAGTGGAAAGAACACTCATCGGGGAGTCAGGAGATGGTGCACGAGTCATTTGCCCTCTCTGAGAAAGTTTTATCACCATAAATGCTCTCTTTGATCATGTCCAGCTTCAAAAAGCTCAGATCTGGCAATCACTAGGAACTAAAGGAGAGACTTGTCATGTGACCTACCTGTAACACTTTAATACAGAAATTAAACACTCCAGCCAATTACATACATAAGTAGTAAATACCTTCAGCTAGTCTCAGTGTTACTCATCTGTCGTCTGGATGGGGGAATAAATTAACTTCTTTATATCATCTTTTCAGTAACACCTCATCCAAAGAATCCCCATTATTTCCATTAATTCTGAGACGTCTTTTACCATGAACCAAAGCAGGAATTGAGGCCCTTTCTTCTTAACTGGAGCTGCATAGATGTTTCCGCCACACACCTCCCACCCCCATAATCAACACCAATTTTCCATTCTGAAACAATCTCAAGAACAACTTCAGGACAACAAGGGTAAAGCTCTTCAGTCACTCTGATATTTCTTTATAACAGTAAAAGTGACAACCACAACCATAACAACTAATACATTTGGGAAAGGTAGGGATGGAGAAATAATTAAAGTAAAAAAGTACGGCTCGAAACATTCTGGGGACCTCATTTACTCTACTGGCCCATTCCCACAAACCCAGAAAATAATTGCAGAAGCTTGAAAAAAATGATAGTAAGGGGAGACCTATTTTGAAATTTCATTTATTAGAGGCCAAAGTGAAAAAGCTCCAGTTTTATTTCCAGTAACAGATTCATTGATATCTGGAGTCTTCCATCATTATCCCCAGAGCACTTTATCTTTCCCTTGGATCACCCCCAGTGAGAGAAGCTTCTGGGGGACAGCATAGCATCTCCCATGTTCTGGGGGGCTTGCTGTGTTCCTTGACAGGCCTGCTACGTGCCTCAGCTGGAGTGAAATGGCCTTACATAATAAAGCAGGTACAAGTATGTCATCTTATCTGAACCTTCCAATTGCCTTGTGTTATGCCATATTATGCCATTTAATCAAGAACAAAGAATTTATAGCAAAATTTTAGCTACATTTTTTAAAACAAGTGATATAGAGGGGGCTATCTACGAACTAGGGCTATCTCGTCTCCCACAAGCCATGAAATCAGCAAACTGTATGGCTGGAAAACCACGCCTCCTTCTTCTATTTGTTGATTCTTTCTAAATAAATTTCTGTAATATCACAAGGTCCTCACAAGGCGAAAGCTATGGATTCAAATATGCCTCTCAAGGGTACTGCCAGCCGGAAGGGATACGGGAAATGTTGAAGGTTGGAGGAGGGGGTCATAAGAGACACGAGATCCTCATGCTCAGTTCTGCCAACTCAAGTATATTCTGCTGGGTTTGAATATTTATTATGTTGATCTACTGCTCAGAGTGGGCTCTAACAACCCACCGCACCAGAAAAATCATCATTTAGCAACCAAGCTAGATGGTGAGTGAGCAAACCACATGTAACCACCCTCTCCTGAGGTACAGCTTAATCTGTGGCATGTGTCCCTGTCCCCACCTGCACAGCCCGTGGAAGGCATTACTAATTTTGAGCACTGCACGCCTTCCCATGTTTTATTGTGCTTTTACTTTTAGTCTAGAACTAAAACAGATCCAGTTTTAAAATACTTCTTGATGCAATGCCCAAGCAGTCACTAACAACTGATAACAGTTGCCACAGTAAAAAAAAAAAAAAAAAGAAGAAGAAAGAAAGAAAATGTATTTGCATTAACTGTGGTGGCTCCTCCTCTCCACGCTAATCAGACAAGTCCACTCAAAGATCTGGGGTGTTCACTAGAACACTTTTCATTCTTTTCTACCAAATAATTGCTATACACTCCTTCAAAATGCGCCAAAATAGAAAAAAAAAAAAAGGGGGGGAGGGGAATGAAGGAAAAAATAAGACTCCCTGAAACTCTTTTGGCCTAACAGCATGAAATTATCCTATGCAGCTAAGACTGTGGATTTGTTCTTTGTAGATATTCTTGATGTCCAGTCTGACCAGACACCATTTAAGTGTCTCAAGCCAAGAACTCAGTCTTCCAGAACACGGTGAGGCTCAAAAGTGCACATCTTTCTACATATCCAGCTGGCTGAACCACAAAACTGAACGCTCCACTTAATGTCACCATGTGCGAATGTTCACGGCACTCACCCACTATGAGTTTTTAAAGTTCTTATCACTCAAAACAGAAAAGATGGAGAAAAGTACGGCCTCTGATAGAAAATTCTTGATTATGGGCCGGCCCGGTGGCGTACTGCTGTAGTGCGCCGCTTGGGAAGCGCGGCGGCGCTCCTGCCCGAGGGTTCGGATCCCACATACAGACCGGTTCCCACTCACTGGCTGAGCGAGGCGCGGGAGCAGCACCGAGGGTTGCAATCCCGTTGCCGGTCCCGGTCCGGTACGGGGGCGACACTGAGGGTTGCGATCCGTTGCCGGACACGGAAAAAGACAAAAAAAAAGAAAATTCTTGATTATATAGCTAACAAAATCACACGTGTGTTAAAAAAAATTTTCCCCATATACTTAACCTGTACAGCTGTTCAGAAATCTACCTGGTGCTGTGTAGGCACAGAGATAAGATAAGAAACAGTCCCTGCGTTCCAGGGATTGAGAATCTGGGAAGACAAGACAAAGGGAAATGTAGGTAAATACACATAGTATTCAATTCTCAAGCAATGTAAAATGTGGAATAGCAGCTCAAAGGAAAGGAACTTAAAGGAGAACTGAGTAAATTAAGGAGACTCATGTTCATACAGTTCAATGACATCACAGAAAAAAAGACGGGGGCCTGCTTCTGGAGGGCAGGACTTCAGAGAAAGAGGAATGCAGAGGAGGTCATCATAAGCTGGGGTGCCCAGGAATGAGTAGGTTTGGGGCCACTATTGGTGTGGTTTGTTAATTTGAGATTTGCTTTTTTGTTTTAACAGCAATATGTTTGAGGAGTCAGCAAGAATGGTCACATATCCAAGCCCTGAACTATAGTTAGCATTTACAGGATTATGAAAATGTAATATCTAAATTTAGTCAAAGAAACTCTTAATGTGGATCCTCCAACCCAAATTGGGGATGTGAGAAGAACTGACTTTGCATAGTAATCTCTAGCTGGACAGAAAGATTTGCTATTTTTATTTTTATTTATTTCTTTTTTGGCAGCTGTCTGGTACAGGGAACCAAACCAATGACTTTGGTGTTATATGGCTGTGCTCTAAGCTACTGCACTAACCAGCCAGCTCCTAGATTTGCTATTTTTAAAGTGTTCAGGTTTTATTAACACGTCACCCAACCCCCAGGCAAACAAGACAGGCAAGATAAGCCTCAAGTAAAGTGGCTAAAAAGAAAAGACACACATGTTTAGCACCCATTTTTGTATCTGTACTTTTTACATAATGTTCTTATGGCGAGTTCAGTTTTTTAGAAGAATCATTAGAATATATTTGACAGCAATCATTAGAATACATTTGATTAAAAAATAAATCTGACAGGGGCCGGCCCGGTGGCGCACTGGATAAGTGCACCGCTTGGGAAGCGCGGCAGCGCTCCCGCCCGAGGGTTCGGATCCCACATGCAGACCGGTTCCCGCTCACTGGCTGAGCGAGGCGCGGGAGCAACACCGAGGGTTGCAATCCCGTTGCCGGTCCCCGGTCCGGTACGGGGGCAACACTGAGGGTTGCGATCCGTTGCCGGACACGGAAAAAGACAAAAAGACAAAAAAAATAAAATAAAATAAAATAAATCTGACAGAGTTTTATTACAGAATATTTATTTGGGGGATGTAAATGTGCCCTATTATTTCAGTCAAAACAACAAAGACCTGGTTCTAAAGTTTCCTCAAAAATACCAAAGCCTGAAAGGAGTTTAAGGAAAGAGAGTACAAAAAATTAACCTTTCCACTCTTTGTAAGTGGCCAGTGCCACCAAAACTCCAGGGCTCTTTCATCTCCTTAAAGACACAAAAGTTTAGCAACCAAAAAGCTTACTAACCTCTGTGCACAACTCCCCAAATGCTGTCCTGCCCCACCAATACTAACACCATCTTTCCAATGACAACATATCTGTCTTAAAGCAACCTGACCTTAACTTACACAGATTGCCACTGTATAACCAAACCAAACCACTTAGCAGCAGCTTTCTTCCTGAAACAACGGCTTAAGTCACACAGGACACCACCCGGACCAACATGTTAAATCAACCACCTCACCTTGCTGGAGAGGGGCTACCAATTCTTTAGAGGCCTCTTATGGTTCATTAAGAAAAACAAAGATGTCATCAACTCACTCTCCAATCCATCATATTCCCAATTGAAAGTATTGTCACAATTCCCCAATAAACAATGGTCCTTAAGTCCACCAGAAAAGGCAAATCTGAGAAAGAGTCTGAGAGAGAATAATGGCACTTACTGAAGGTGCTCTCTCCTTTCTTTGCAATACTATGCGCATGCATTAGTGAGAAAGCACAATTAAGATCCAAAATATGTATACACACTTCGATTGCAATTATGTGAAGAGAGTATAGGCATATGGGCAGGAGCTAGCAGGAAAGATAAATTTTAAAAACTGGTGAAATTTTAGGCTTTTTTCCCCAAAAATTTAGCTAAGTTTATCCTAAAAAAAAAAAAAGAAAGATTGAAAGAAAATATAATAATAGGTATAAAATCCCCTCTAATTAAGCGAAACAAATAACTCATTCACTTTGTAAAATCTGGAAAGGCCCAGTACTTTTTTTTTCAAAATTCAATAAAGTTTTTGCTCAAAAAGAAAAAAAAACTGTATGTATGAAGGCTGATATGCTTAAACAAGAAAAATAACTCATCAGTTTCCTACAATTTTGGAAAGGCCTAGTCCTTTGAAGTTAGCCTGTGATGTGCTCCTGTTTCACTAAAACATCATATTCTCAAATTGCAATTTAAGACAAGAATTTGTGGATAACCAAACCATCATAAAAACTCTTTGAACCTCTCAGACTCCCTTGTTCCACAAGGTGATGGAAAACGCAAACGTCCAAGGCAGCCATGAGCTGTGTCAAGGCACTGAGCAACCCAAATCCTCCACCCCCACCCAAGCGAGGTAAACAGAGGAAGGCAGTCACCTATCCGGCCTAACAGCGTCCATGGCAATGCACACCCCTCTCCTCCAGGTCCTCCGCTGGGTGTGCTGCCCTCTTGGACTCTGATGTCAACAGCAGTGACCCTTAGAGGACAGCCTTTGCAAACAAGACTAGTGGATGGTGAGGACTAGCTGACCTCTCCTGACAGTCCTGCCACCAGAGTGGGAGAATTTATGGGACAGAGAATTCAGCGTACAAGGAATCTCACCTAGAGTATCAGGACCCCAAATCTGGACCTGACAGCCTCCCTGCCTCCCTCCCACCTAACTATTCTCAGTCTAAAAGCAGACCCCGTAAAGGAGAAAGGCTGTAATCCCTCTGCCTTAAACTCACTGGATGACTTTGGAGAAGTCCTTTCTTGGGATCAACTCCTGAATTTTCATAAGGCAAAGAGCTGGTTGTGGCAATCCAATTAGAAGGGAAACAAGGGCTTGTTCTGAAGCTGTGTTTACATAGGAATTACATTTACATTTAGACTATATGTTCATCTGGGGAAAGAGTTCGAGATGGTAGTCTAGAACCACCCCCCTCCACACACACACACATACACACACACGCTAGCCCTTGGCACTGCCACTCTCCCTTCCGGTCTCTGGGCCTCAGTTTCCCCATCTGTAAAAGAGACTGAGCTAGACAGCTGTCCTGAAGTTCGAAAATTCCGGGAGAATCCAGAAAGAGAACAGCCGCCGGCCCATCTAGCACCCTCAAGCCAAGGGGGACCTCAAAAGTGGTCAGCCCAGGACACGGAGCGGACGGACGCTACCCCACGGACCCTAAAGGCCCTGGCACCCCTGGGGGCACCTGGAGGACGGAAGGAAGCGCGTGGGGTGCGCGACCCCGGGCGTCGACTGGCGACGGCTACTCACGGGTCCCCGCGGTCGGGCCCCCGGCCGCGGCAGTGGATGGGATTGAGCTCGTCCTGGGGAAAGGCGTGCGCCATGTAGTTGTCGTAGCCGAAGACGAACATGCCCCGCGCCAGGTCGCGCATCTGGGCGCGCAGCTGCGGCGGGAAGGCGCCGTTGTAGCGCTTCTCGTACTCGTCCGGGCCGCGGCCCCGGCCGCCCAGAGCGTAGCCCCAGTG